TTATATCGCATTTTTAATGGGGTGCTCAAGAACTTCTGTAAGGCAGATACGCAGATAAAATTAATGTTTTTAAGATTGAACCGATCTGGATTGGGGTTAAAACTAAGATTAACTTAAATTCAAAAGTAAGTTTAGTCAATGTTTAGTTTATAAAAATTTGAATATGAAAGATCGGAACTGTTAATGGGTAAACATTGCTTATATCTTGACCTGGTTGGTGAAATGTGCGTATTGCACAAAAAAAGCACTGAACGGAATTCACCAAGGTCAGTTAACACCTTCAAAGACTCCCTCCGCATGAATAGCGTGCTCGGAGATAAAGCACCACCCATTGCAGACATAGAGCTCGACCTGCCTCAAGAGACCCGCGTGACCCTGGCACAGCTTAGGTCTGGGAACTGTAGCAGGTGAAACTCCTCCCTATCCAGACTTCACCACAGTAGCCGAATGGTTAGCATTGCGTACTGCCATTCGGAGGGCTCGGGTTCAAATCCTGATACGACAAACATCCAAAAGTTGTAGAAAATTTATTTAAATAAAAAATTTAGCTAGATTTTCTAAATGCGATCACCCCTCTGCATTGCGTACTGCCATTCGGAGGGCTCGGGTTCAAATCCTGGTACGACAAACATCCAAAAGTTGTAGAAATTTTATTTAAATAAAAAATTTAGCTAGATTTTCTAAATGCGATCACCCCTCTGCATTGCGTACTGCCATTCGGAGGGCTCGGGTTCAAATCCTGGTACGACAAACATCCAAAAGTTATAGAAAATTTATTTAAATCAAAGGAGGCTTAGTATATACTGTAGATCCCTTCATTTCTTGGAAAAACATCAAAAAGACGCAAGCCCGCAAATTAGAGGAGGAGCATGGCAGAAAATCGCTTCAGCGATCTATTGTCCAGACTCGACTCCAGCATACCCAACGTATGCCCTGCATAGCTATAACAACAACATGTCACCCTCGGCAAATATGAGTTCCGTCACGACAGTCTTTTTCACGCTCTGTTTCATATCTCTACTCACAACATTCATACCGAATGTCTGCCAAAAGTCAACTCCTTAATAAACTTCTTGTTGGAATCATGGGACAATCTGAAACTCCAAGCCTCTAGCGACGTTATCCCTCAGAACTGAGAATGTTATCACTTCTGGGACTGCTGTTATACTGCTATTAGCGAGCTTGATGTTTTGGCCTTTGACTGAAACTATTACCTTTTCCTTTCCCGTTAACAGTTGGCTCGGTGAACAGACTATGAAAATCCGCGAAGAATGTAAGATGAAATACTGTTTCTTCTCTACCCTAAACGCCAAGTTCTCTTCACTCGTTCGATTTTAATGTGCCCTTTATCGAGGTTAAAATATTTCCAGTCTTGAGTCGCTTGTCTTGCCCTTTCTGTGCTCTTCGTCTTCTCATTACTTGTCTCCGGTGTGAATGTTTAGTGTGGCGTAATGCTGCCTGTTTGCACGGATGTTTCCACGTCGGCAGCGCGGTTACTGAGATTGGCAACGCTCCCCCGTATGAGGCGCATCTCATTCGTAAACTGTGAAACCATGTCTCTTTATTATGCTGCTATTGCCATCAGTCTGCTTATTTGTTCAACAGTGGTCGCTGATACAGCAGATATTCCTCCGGCTACTTCCGCGACACTGTCGATGTCTTCCAATTTTTTTTTTTTTTTGATCTTCCTACAGAAGCTCAGGCTATTATCGGAAGTGTTGAGTGCCACCTCGTCGGTCACTCTGATGCTTTCAGTACCACATTCCTTCGCTTCGAAAACACCCCCTAACTTTTAGACAGACGTTAATAATTCATATTAATTCAATGTATGCTACCTTTTTAACTAAAAACGTCCAGAAAATAGAAAAGATCTAAGCAAACAATTGTATATATGAGGCGCATCTCATTCATAAACTGTGAAAGCATGTCTCTTTATTATGTCGCCATTACCATCAGTCTGCTTATTTTTTACACAGTGGTCGCTGATACAGTAGATACTCCTCCGGCTACTTCCGCGATACTGTCGACCGTCTTACTGGCTAGCGCACCTTTCTCTGCTCTTTTCTCTTGTTCTGATGTCTTCCAAACTTTTTTTTTTAATTTTCCTAGAGAAGCTCAGGCTATTATTGGAAGTGTTGAGTGCCACCTCGTCGGTCACTCTGATGCTTTCGATACCACATTCCTTCGTCCCGAAGATACCCCCTAACTGTCGGACAGACGATAATAATTCAATATATGCTACCTTTTTTAACTAAAAACATCCAGGAAATAGAAAAGATCTGAGCAAACAATTGTATATAAAAACATTGAAGTAACCCAAAGAAAAGTCAAAGAAAAGGATGAAGATAATACAATATATACATACATATATAATATGTACAGGGTGTTCCATCTTTTATGTCGGTATGTAAACGCTGAATAACTTGCACATTTACCAACCGAGCGATTGCATCAGATATGTTTTGGAAACGTCAAATCGGTACAGTTCTTGCCATGGATCGCTCCACACCGAAACAACGTGCTGAAACAGTGACATTGTCGTTCCATTGTGTTAACTCAACGTGCACATCGGAAAAAATATCGCAGCAGGGGAACCATCTGACAGATCACTGACCCAATTCGATGGCAACATCCACTATTCTGACACAAATCTGTCTGCCGATCTGTCTGTCATTGTATCTTCCTTAACGCCCTTCCGTCAACCTTCCGATTTCCTTACAAATCTTTTTACCAACCCAGCACCCACACCAAAATGTAGTGTTCCATCATAAGGATGGATTTCTTCATTTCGTAGGTATTTATTTCACTGGGATTCAACTTATAATCTAGCAAGTAATAAGAATTAATAATCTGTAATATAATCTCAATCTTATTTACAACTCCTACTTTTAAAAAAAGGATTTAAGGATTTCTTCTCCGGTGCATGTACGAACTAAAATCAGGGTGTATTGTGAACAAAATTAAATTATTTACCGATAGTTAAAAAAACTTCAAAAAATATATAAAAAAATATTCCTTATAAAAACGAGAAGCGAACTTGTTCTCAGTGAGAATATGTGCGTGTAAGTGGGATTGGATGAATGATAGAAAAGCGAATAATAGCAATAAGCAAATTCGTAAAAAAAAAACACAACTGAAACGTGAATTTGATGCAATTTGAAGAATATTCTTATTCCGACAAGTTATACTTCAAAAAAGTTCATGCCTGTAAATAAAAAAACATCGATGTGATCGAACTAATTAAAAGAGGAGATTTAAGAGGAAGATAATGATAACCATGTATAGGATAAAGGAATGCTAAATTGAAATATATGGACATGCATAAGAAGAAATCGAAGATATAATGATTATTGCTTGGACATGGTGCAATCGCGATTTCTATGATCTGAGATTAGTTATTGGGAGTTAGGCTATTTTTGGATTTTAATTTCAGATTCAGGACCATATTCATGTACTTATGTATTATTGTTAAATGTTAATTTCACAGCTGATCTCCGATTAGTTTATGTTCCAGAAAATGATTTTCTGGGAGAAGTTAAAGACGCAAATGTCGTGGGTATCAATAAGTATTATACTCCCTTAATAAAACTCTTTGATTTTATGACAAGACTGGCGATTTAAAAAGTGTTTAAGGAAAAGTTGAAACGTGAGTATATATGGGTGCCTACCGGTTTGCTGCTAAAATAGCTGGTTATGCCAAAGATGTGACTCATGATGCCTTTTCATCAAATCCACGAAGGATTTAATGGTCTCAAACCTCTTACCATAAAGCAGATTATCCATTTCTTTAGCCAATATTCAGTTCATGCATTTTGACCATGAGGAATGTCGAACTGCAGTGGACAGAAAACGGACTACCTACCTCGTAACCTTGAGATGGATCAGCGGGGAAAAGAAGATAGGAGCTGAAATGTATCAATATGACGAGCATGAGAAGCTGGCCGACAAGTGTAATGCTCGAATACTTCTCCAGCTTGCTGAATGGCAGTGAAAATGAAACACTCGGAGATGGTGAACCCAAAACCTCAATCGATGACGATGGAAAAGACTCTCTAATATTCGACTATCGACAGAACTATTCAAAAATGGCGGTGAAGTGCTAATAAGGTGCAAGCATCAGCTTCTTTGCAAAACATGGTCGGATGAAAGCATGCGCGACGATTGGAACCTATGAATGCTCTGCCCAATCCACAAAAGGGCAAATAATGTTGTATAAGGCGTATTGTCTGAAAGACTAAAGCGCACCGCAAACAAACTGTTTGGTCTTTTTCAATGTCGCTTTAGACCTCGTAAGCCAACAGTTGACCAGATATTCTCCATGCGCTAAGTCTTAGAAATGACGCCTTCTACAGTTCGAAAAATATACGCCTCTGCGTTGCTGTATCTGAATTTGGTATCATGGTCAAACTTATCCGGCTGGGTAAGCTGACAATAGACAAAACCAGAAGCGCGGTCGGAATCGGGAAGCACTTCTCTTAGTCGTTCGATACCAAACGAGGTTTTAGTGATTTTTTGTGATTTCTTCAGTTTGATGCAGAAATCATTGGCGGATGCCGATGATTTTAATATTATGGGCCTCAACAGCGGCGCCGTTTGTTATACTTAAAAAAAAAAATTGATAAAGACGCGAAGCGAATCGGTCTGGATGTGAACGAAACCAACAGTCATCGCATTCGCGACTTGGCTCCCACGTCACTGTTGACAGCCAGCATTAACACAAATAATACGTCAGCCTTGAAATCCAACGCAGAATCACTCTTGCCAATACGTGCCACTTTGGAATGCATGGGCAACTGAAAAGTTAAGTCTTCTCTCGGTGAACAAATACCCAACTTTGCAAGTCGCTCTTCTATCCGTCCTTCTTTATGGCTCAGAAATGTGAATGTTTCCAATGGCTGATGAGTTGGCCTTAGGAGTCTTCGAGAGAAAAGTTTTGGAAACGATTTATGGATCTTTGCTCATTGTTTCCACTTAAAAGCAATAAATGTGAAGATTTTCGATTTTTTATTAAGATAACACATATAATTTAGAAAAATCAAGTCTTAAATCTATGGTTTTTCATTGATCATGTATTTTGGTGCAAGAGTTGCACTGTTCAGTGGAGAACGTTGTGATGGGTGGCATTTTTGTTTCATTATCAGGCCACAAAATCTGACCATGTGAAAAACAAGGATTTCCCATAATCAGACCACAAACTTTCAAGGATTGGCCTTCCGATTTGTGAATTGTCATGGCGAAAGCAAGGCAGATCGGAAACTGAAGTTCTTTAAAAGTGAACGGTATATCGTTTGGGATCATCGGAATTCTCTGAATGAGAACGTCCTCACCTTCAAAGCTTCCTTTGAGTATCGTCGCGAAAATTACATTATTCATCAGTTTGCTTACCATACGAGTTCCGTTACCCGGTTTTGCTTGCTTTGTATTTCGAAGCAAACTTTGTTCATAAACTGTGCGGTGGTAAGCCAGGCAACTAACCATTCCTTGATGGAAAATTATTATGTTGGGGAATTCTTTGTTGATGAGTTCCTCTTTCGATGCGACAAAGTTACAGAAATTCAGAGGAAATGAAATTAATCCGCTTGATTCGACGACAGTACTCGACAAGTACCGATAATCAGTAATCACACAGAGAAATTCTCAGCAGATACATGTTTGTTGTCAGTTGAAGTTTCATAGCGACGTAGACCCTTCTTGTCAGGAACTCAACAGGAGTACTTTGAACTACCAATTGACCGACGAAAATACATCCATGAAGGATTCGAAGAAAGAAGAGAGTGTTGAATCTGCAAAAAGATTTCGAGCAGCTAGCACACCAGTTCATCTTTTGGTGTTGACATGAACGTACTATTGGCTGCAATGTCAAAAATGAATGCCATCATCACAGCTTCAAGACCAAAAAGCCGACATTTCAATACAACTAAAAACATAGGATGCACGTATATCACAAAAGTGGGAAGCACACGGCACGCGTTTGTCCGAGTTGTCATCGCAGTCATCCCAGTTCATACAGCTTATGTACAAGTTGATCAGTCCCAAAAGAACGGCAAGATAAGTTCGAAGACGAAGTCAATGAGATTGAAGGATATCCTTCAAATGAACCGTACAGTCCCTTCAACGATCGATCTCAAGTTAAAAACAGCATCCTTAGACGACACAATTATTTTCAAGGTATGTAGGCTCCAGTTCGAAAAGACGGCTACAGCAAATAACTGGAGTAATGAGGAAATATCCGCTCCCTTATTCTTTGCGCTGAAGGGACCTGCAGCAGGAACTTTGCAGACGACTCAGTAGAAAGTCGCTATGGTAGTAAGTACAGAAGAGGCAAATATACCAGATGGAGATGGAGCATCTGCGTACAAATAAAATGAATAATGTTCATACAAGAATTAAAGAAAATAATATTATTACCATTCGCACATTGATAGAATGGCATGGTGGTTCACATAGTTTCGTTTATGATATCTGGGGCTTATTATGAGCACAAAAGTGAACCAATAGTGCCTCCACCAACTGATGAGGGAAATCTAACATTCGCAAAGGACATCGAATGATTGATTACGTCTGTTACGCTAAGCATATAACGGCTTACGGAAGACTGACTCAGAGATATTTCCCATTGCTCTCCAATGAGGCGTTGATAGCAGTCAGTTACGAAGAATCACAATGCGATTAAAACCTTTAAGCATTTTAAAAGTGTTGAAACTGCAAAAACCCTATAGTTATATTGTTACCTGTTTCTCTCTAGCTATTGCTATTATTCTTTTGCCTTTAGTTGGCTATCAATAAACTGACTGTAACGCCCTTCTTCTTGATTCACGTAGGGTCTTATTACTGATGCTGACCTCTTCACCTCTTCACGTCATCTGCGCATAGGAACCGGTATCGTTCTTCTTCTAGATTTAACGGTTTAAACAGCAAAATCTTCAACCAGATCTAGCAACTCTTCCAAACTGTGAAGCTCATGCCTTTTCACATATAGCTAGTACTCCCGGCGAGAGTTTCGGTATATTCGGCCGTGTAGTTCACATGTCGCAAAAGCCCCTGTAGCACCGAAGCGTAATCTTTAAACCCCTCAAAGGTGGTTGGACGCGTCGTCGTATCTCGTCAACCAGTTTTTCGTAGTACCGCGTGCTCAAGATCACGCTTTTAAGATCATCCCATTTCTACCAGTGCCGTTTGTTGTTACGGAACCATACGAGACTCTTGTCTTTCAAAAGTTCTGATAACGCTTGTGGGATCAAACTACGGTTAATGTTGTACCTATCCGCTAACTTTTCCTCCCTCTATATGAATCCTAGGGGGTCTTTACTGCCGTCGTAATGGCACCCACAATGACGTCGTGGGCACGTACGTTGTTGTCGCTAGATTCAGAGTTATTGCTGGCCGAGTATGTTGCTGGGTCAGCTCTGCTGATCGTTTTTGGACGTCTGTTCCTTCACTGTGGCTCTGGATAAAACTCACAAAGTGTTGGCGTTTCTACTGTTCCACGGTCCTCGAATCCGAACTCTTCTGCATATCTCTCCCTCCTCTCTAATGAAATAGTAAGCCCATATCACCTTGACCATGGTTGCCTCTTTGTCTACTACCTCGACTTATTAGTTTAAAGCTCTTGCTAGGGCGCCAGTTTTAACGGAGTTTTTTCACTTGGCTGGAGTGGCTCAGCCTAAAAAAATATCACGCTATATTGAAAGCTGCAACAAAATGTATTTTTTATATGCAGAAATAAATGTAACTTTTTGTACGAATCTCTACTCAAGTTTCTACTATAACACTTGTTTACTTCTTGAATTGACTGTGGAACTTAAAACCCTCTATTGACCCTATTCAGTGGGACCCACCTCACTCTCATTGAAATATAAACTAGGCGTTCGTGATGTAAAAACCCTTAGGAACACTACAGGCTACTTAACTTCTTTTTTACTTTTTCTCGTATTTTATATTGTTCTTCACACAAGCGAAATGTTATTTTATAAAAACCACTAATGCAATGAACATTTGTCACTTATGCTATGTATTGTAAATGCATGTGCATGTAGAAATGAATTCATGTTTATAATTGTTGGACCTGGGCTAGGCGAAGTTGCGTAAAAAAAATTCATAATGGCGGCCACGATAGCCGACTAGTTAGAATTGCGTACTGCCATTGGGAAGGCTCGGGTTCAAATCCTGGCACGACCAACATCCAAAGGTTATAGAAAATTAATTTAAATAAAAAATTAAGTTACATTTTCCACCTGCGGTCGCCCCTCAGCAGGGAATGACAACCGCTCCGTCTGTATTTCTGACATTAAATAAGCTCCACATAAAAACCCACTAGCCGTTCGGAGGTGGATTAGTATAAGCTGTAGATCCCTTCATTTCTTGGAAAAACATTCAGACGAAAAACCACAAATCGGAGGAGAAGCTCGACCGAAAATCACTTCAGCCTTGGCCAAAAGTATAAGCACCCCACTAAAATACAAGTAATCTCAAATGTAGCTATCAAAGTTACCACTTCTTTTGTAAATGTCTTACATGGGTGTTTGACTGTTGATTAAACGAATAAATTGTGTAATATTAAAAGTCATAGTACTCTGGGTAAGCAAATTTTAATTTTTAAGAAATTCATAAAATATTTTCGCATTTAAAATTTGATATTGAAAGTGTAAATTACATTTAGTGAAAAGTTACCAATCTTATAAAAACACCTCATATTTACCGAAATGCTTTAAAAATGTGAAAATAGTTTCGATGATAAAGTTAGAATCAGGTTCTAAGTGAAGAAGGTAAGCCTCAGGTTGAGATTGCCAATTTAGTTGGATGTTTGCGATGCGCGGTCCAATGTGCTATCAGGCGCATTGTGGATACGAAATCCCACAACAATAAATCAAAAACTGGAATAAAGCGTCCAACCAGTAAACGAGATCGAAGAAAAGGAACGCAAAAAATCAGATGAATTTAGTAAGCTAGTTGGTGCTCGAACAGTTAGAAGAAGACTTCTGGAAGCGGGTTTAAAAGGATATTAAACAGCCGTGACTATCCGAAAAGAATAGGGAAAATCGTTTGAAATAGGCCTGCCGATACCAACATTTCACGGAAGAAGATTGGTTGTAGGCTTCGTTCATATCGTCTTAAAGTATTAACAGCCATAGCTTCTTACCTTGGATCAATTTCGAAGACATAATGCAAATCTTATGAAAACATTATTTTTTCTTTTCTACAGATGTTTGGAAAACCTGGTGTAACGTTCGTGAGGCTACAGGTTGGGGAAGAATATCATCCAGATGCGTGGAACCCACTGTTAAGCATGAAGGAGGCAGCATTATGCCCTGGGGTGCATGACTGCGTATGGCGTCAGCGAAATGTTCGTTTGTGAGAGTCGAATGGACAGTCAAAAGTACATAAATGTATTAGAAGCAGCTCTTCTGCCTTCGTTAACGCGCATTTTCGGCGATACTAATTTAGATGGTGTTCAATTTCAGCAAGACAATGCTCCTTGTCACAAATCAGCGACAACGAGATAAGGTAACAACGTAGTTTTTTAGATTGGCCTGCGCAGTCTCCAGATCTTAAGCCCATTGAGCATATGTGGGCTATTTTAAAACGCAAGATTAAGGAAAACAGTATAACATCAAAAACTGCCTTAATTAACGAGTGGTACGCCATAAGTGCGGAGGAATGTGTAAAGCTTGTACGCAGCATATCTAAGAGAATTGCTGCTGTTATTAAATCGAAGGGTGGACCTACTAAAAAATATTGTTTTTATCAGTAATTCATTGTATTTTCACTGTTTTACTAATAAAACTCCTTTACTTCACTTGTTAAATAAAAAATTCAGAAAGTAGGGGGGTGCCTATGGCTCATAGTGAAAACCAAACATATAATAACGGGTATTCCTTCCATTGGCATCAATGACAGCTTGAAAGCGGCGGGGCATGTTTTCGAACAGGTTTTTCCAATATCCTGGGTCGTTTCTTTCCTATTCTTCGAGTACACATTTTCTTAAATCGCTGAGTCGCTGAGTCGCTGAGCTACTCTCATTCTTAAATTTGGCCATAAATGTTTAATAACATTTAAGTCGAGCAACTGGGATGGGGTTTCTATTATTTTTGGACAATTATATAGCGGTATCTGTGTTTTGGATTATTGTCCTGGTAAAATAAAAAAGTATCTCTAATGATAATGATTGATATATAAGCTCACCGAACACCAATACGAACAATCTTTCTCAATATTTCGCTTTGCAAATTGTGTTGGGGTTTTCAGAAATTTCTTTTAAAAGGCACCGTTCATCCCGACGTGATAACTTATGCCTATTAGACTGAACTTTTTTTATTAGTAATTTTCCCTTCGGTTTTGTATTTTTGAGCAATATCGAAAATGGTTTTATTGACAATTCCGGTAATTTGTTGAATCGGGGAAGTTATTGATAATGCTTTGCTTTTCTTCGACTGTACTTTTTTTTTGAAGTCATGATGCTCATTTAATGTCTTTTCAAACTGCCAATATTACGACAAAAATTTTCAGATTTGCTCACCCATCATATTAATTTTGCCGTTAGGCTTAGCGGTTCAGCTTAAAGTGTGAGCACGAAGAAACTGTGCGTGTTGTTGTTGTTGGTGAATTGTTTTGAAATTGTTCAATTACATTTTTTTTCATTAGAGATTGAAAAATAATGTAGAATTGAGATATAACATCAATTTGAAATGGTGCAACTCAGGACAATTTATTCAAATTTTGTTTGTTTTTATAAGTTTATGCCGTTGATTGTGTAATTCAAATCAATCAATTCGTTCGTCTCGTTTCAATTCGAGTTCAATAAAATTGCGTCCTGAATATCGATTAAATGGCGTTTTGTTTTCTTACCGGGAATGGAGAGCTTCCCGAGCCAGCGGGTAGCCGCAGTATCTGGGATGAGGTACCTATACCATAACAGCCGACTGGAAGAGCGAAATACATACATTTGTTATCGACGCTACTGAGAGCGGCAAAATTTTACTAGCTGTATTGACTTTTTAAACTAATGTAATAGAAATAAAATAAGAGAATTCGTTAAAAAAAAAAAACAAATGAAAACCAAACTCGTAATTAATTATAATAACGTGTATATTTGATTGGCGCTTATATTCAAACATGTAAATTATGAAAATCATTGGCGAAGATTATAAATTTCTTCAAAAAGTGTGCAAACACACTGGCAGCTGGCCACTTTTCGCTGCTGTCAGTAGCGTCGATAATACATGAATACATATCACTCTTCCAGTCAGGTGTTATGGACGGAAGGCATGTTAGTTGGGTAGTTGTAGCATTACTCACTCTGTATTCAATGTTGTTCTGAATTTTCTTGTTGTTCTTCTCTGCTACCTCCGTAGTATCGCCACTGCGCACTCGTTGAGCTTACTTAAACTTCACTGCTCGGCTATTGCGCACTTGATGCGCCCACTCAAATAAACTGCTACGCAATTCTCCCACTTGAAATTTGGAATTACTTGCTCTCTTCTTCTAATTTATTGTTTGCGTATAACAGAACTTCAGAACGCTTGATAAGCATATATTTTCAACTGCACCATTGACTTAACGGATGGAACGGTTTAATTACGAACGAAATTTGCCGAGCTTTAACAGTTTAATGACTAACAGGCCTATTCTCACTGTTACCAGTGAAGTGAGTTTTGTCACTTTTCTATAACACCCGAAATTGAATTTTATATTCTGGCGAACTGGTTACAATGTTTGAAAAAAATTTGGCAGCACTGCTTTTTTGTCCATGTCAAATTACATTTGCCAGTTGGTAAAGTAAAAAAGAAAAATATTCACATCGAAATGGAAGACAGTGCACAAAAAATTAAAAAGTTTTATTAATTTGTTTATTAAATCATAAATATTTAAACCTTATTATGGAAAATATGCCTGGAAAACAAAAAAAGCTGAATGAAAACGTTATCTTACCAATTAAAGGGCTATTTTTTAGTCTCGGAAACTTCCTGAAATACGGCTTTTTGCACTTTTTTCTTCATCTTCAATGAATTCCAGGCCTGATATATGCCTACCCATTTTGGTTTTTTATTTTTTCTCAAACTTACAACACACGGGCCTATTCTCATTGTTACCGGTAAAGTAAATTTTGTTACTTTTCTTTGTCACCCGAAATTGAATTTGGTATTCTGGCGAACTGGTTACAATAATTAAGAAAAATTTGGCAGCACTGCTTTTTTCGTTGTTGTCAAATTACAACATTTGGTAAAGTAAAAAAGAATGATACATACACCAAAATGGACGGAGCGCAACAAAATAAGTGAGTTTTATTTATTTGATTATTAAATCATAAATAATGGAATTTCATTAAAGAAAATGCGCCAGAGCCACAAAAGCGCAGCTGAAATGGCTGAATTCAAACAAAGTAATCGACAGATCCTAAGCGGGAAGAACACACCAAATGATCCTCAAGCTCAGAAAAGATTGTGGGACGAAATAGCTTTGAGCTTAAATTCATTTTATGGGCCGAATAAAACTTCGGCAAAAGGGAAAGTGGTAAACATTTTATTATATTCTGTTTATATTATCAAACAATAAATTTTTCCATTGTAGTCTTTAAGCAACTGGAAGAAGCAGCTCTGCTCGGGCGCGAAAGCTAAGAGCGGAACGCTTGCGCACTGGCGGAGGTTCGTTTTCAGGCGAAGAGTTATCGGAGTTCGAGGAACAAGCTCTTTCTGCATTTGGCATGGGCGCAGTCAATGGATTGGAGTGCGTAACCTTAGGTCTTCCTGTAAGTAAATAATTTTCCATTTGTTAAATACACACAAAACTTTAAGTTTCGGCATACTTAGGGCACATTCACAACTCCTGCGACTCCATCACCACTATGCGAGGAGGAAGAATACGTGATTGAGGAAACGCTGGTCGAATCGCCAACCGCGTTAACCGTAGACCCAAATATATCCAACATTACCGCAGCCTCTGATGCATGGCTTTCGATTGCTCCTACCACTTCTCAGCAACAAAAAGTGACAAAGGATGCAACTTATAAGATGATGGCTGAAGATTTGCAGTCTCAAAGGCAGAGTGATGAGCAGCTATCTTCTGCATTGATGCAAATGGGGAAAGGGTTGGAGATTTTGGGCAATGTAATCTCAAAATTAGCCGATAAGCTGTAGTTAGTTTTTTTTTATTAGCTACATAAGGGAATTTTTTCTATCCAAATGAATTGCTATAAGTTTTTTAAGTGTTTGTCTAGACATTTTAGTTAGTAGTATTAAGATTTATGTAACTATGTACACAGCCATGAGTGAATATAAAAACAATAAAGACTGAATTTGTGATACAATAAAAATATTTTTTTTAATACTTCTTCTATTCATTTCTTCACAAATTAATTAAAAACTGTGAAAACTAAATCATACGCATCAAATGTGCACGAATCCGTTCGGCTTCTCGAAAGAGCCGTCGAAATCTTGATTTCAATACACCAAAGTACGTTCAATTACATTGCGTGCTGCACAGTGTACTCTATTGTAATTTTCCTCAAGCGCGCTTGTTGGTTCTGAAACTGGGGTTAGTAGCCAGGGCTCCAGAGGATAGCCTTGGTTGCCTATGAGCTAACATCCACGTTGATCCATTAAGAAGCTTCTAATCATGGATGTCGTCCATATCTTCGAGTCATGACAAGACCCATGAAAGTTGGCGTTTATTGACAAAAAATTCATGCTTGCGTCACACACTGCCTCTACATTGGCGCTGTAATTACCCTTCCGGTTCATATACAGGCTTGCTGGATTTGTAGGGTCGTTGTTTGTAGGTGCTATAATGCCAATGTGTGTGCAGTCAATTGCACCAATGACGCCTTTTATTCCAAACTTCGAATAAAATCTGCAAAATATTTTATTAATATCTTAATAAACTGTTTTAAAAAGTTGTTTTTACCCTCTTTTTTTTGTGTTTGCATTTCACTTGTTGTTGGGAAGCAAATTTCTCCGGCTCTCACTTTGACATAAAATCCCAACAAACTGGTTTGTTCACGCGAAAATGCTGAATGAAAACGCTGTCATCCAAATTAATTGGGTCATTTTTTTCTCTCAAACTTCTTAACATACGCCTGTTACATTTTTTTCTTCATCTTCAATTAATTCTAAACGTAAAATATGTCTATACATTTTGGTTCTTTATTTTTTTACAAATTGCCAACACATAATCGAACAGCTGATTGTTTGTTACCTCCTATTTCGTTGGTTACAAAATTTACAGGGTAACAGTGAACTCAGAATACGAAATGGTAACAAAATTTACTGAATGGTAAATTTTAATACCAAAGTAAATTTTGTTACCTCGACAGAATAGGCCTGTAAATTTTTATTTCTACAAAATTCCACTCGCAAAATCTTTGCATCTTTAAAAGTTAATGGCAACGCGCCTGCACATATGTATGTGTAATCCCATTTCTGTCACCCCTGTTTTTATTAATATGCAATTCATTTAATACCTTTATTTTAACATTTCTTATTTTTAATATTATAATTTATTTTCAAGTCCGTGTCACTTCGTGGTCGCGCAGTAAGTTCCTGGCTCTTATTCTTCCTAGAACGCTTCTTGTTTCTCATTCCTATTATGCTCTGTTTTCACCACCATCAGTGTTGCTTTTAATTTCTAGTAATTTAGGCAAACAAGAATGAGGTCATGCTTATACTGTGCTGTATGTTTAATGTCCTATTCCTACATACGTGGACATACAAATGTGCGTATACAAGGTACTTCGTTGCACCGAAATATCGCTGGGAGATTTTTTCGGTTTTTTGCCTTACATATTGTTGCGAAAATGCGAGGCGAATGTCAGATGAAAGAGAGAAGCCGATAACTAGTACATCCTAGAATGATAAAACAAGAAACTTCGATAGCTAACAAATCGATGCTTCTACACTTTCGTCTACGAGCAGCCGACTGCTATATAAAGGCGATACTCAGCTACCAAGTCAAGCTAGTTACAAAGTGAACTCGTTGGCGTTAACATCAGTAAAGTCGTAGAGTAAACGCGATGGAGCTTACATTTAAGTAAAGTATACTGTGAAAGTTGATGCTAGTGATTGTAAAAAGTAAAGTGCATTGTAATTGTATTGTGAATTACTGAGAAAATAAAGGACATTAGATTAATTCTTTATAACGAAAGAAACTGCAAATTAAGTTGGCGATTTTTTATTTAACAATCCAGAGATCGTACCCGAAAGATTCAGGAAATAATCGAGGTTGATTTAGCAAAATCGTCAATATGTACATTTGTAACTGTATGCTTGCAGTATTAAATTTAGTTTTTGGATACGTAGGAAAATATTATCAGGAATCAATTAGAAAATTTATTATATGCAAAACATTCTTACGTTCCTTCTACATAAACATGTAAATATATGACTCGTTTTTCACTTTATCATCTGCCAATGGTTCCGAATCCTTATTCTGCGTAGTAGTTGGATACTGATAGTAGAGTATTTGTTGCTTTGGTGTTGCAGCCGCAACCGCCAGATTTAGGGACTTTGCTAACGATGCTACAGCTTTCGGTGTCGACGGTGTTGCTGGTTTGAATTTTCGTTAAAATTGTTTTATGGTTTTATAAAACCTTGGTTGGTGCAGTTAACTTTTTTATACTTTTTTTTCGTAGCACAAATTTGTAATGAGTTCACTTAAGGGAAAGTTGTTGGTTTTGTAGCTTTTATTTTATTTGAACTTAGAGTTTTAACTTTTCTCAATACCAAATGTGTATGTTTATATTTATTTTAAGCCGTTTTGATTGTAAACCCCTTTGTTTAACCAGGTCTTGGGTGTTGTTTTTTTTAGGTAAATTTATAAGATCAAGATGTAATTTGTAGTCTTCAACCAAAAATCAATAGGTAGGTTCAATTTTAGCCTCGAAGGACTATGTTTACGCGAGGATTTCTTGCCTCTCTTTTAAATTAAAACACTTCGTGTTTCGCATTAAAGTTTAAAATTGGTTTAATTAAAATAATAATAAAATATTAAACATTTATTTTGTGTATAATGACAAAATATATTTAACGTATGAATATTTTCTTTTTGTATATGTATAGTTATATTATTATTACAATATTGTTTGATTTGAAGGATATTGCCTAGTGCGCGCTTGCTGATAGTTGGCGAGAAAGTCTCTTTTATTTGTTTGGCTTGCATTAGGGTGTGCACAAATAAATATGGTTTTTGGCTCTCCCGTTGTTACGATTTTACTAAATCAACCTCGATGATTTCCTGAATCCTTCGGGTACGATCTCTGGATTGTTAAATAAAACTCGCCAACTTAGTTTGCAGTTTCTTTCGTTATAAAAAATTAATCTAATACCCTTTATTTACTCAGTGATTCACATCTCAATTACAAGACACTTTACTAGCTACAATCACTTGCATCAACTTTCACAATTTACTCTACTGAAATGTAGTTCCCAACGCGTTGACTTTACGACTTAACTGATGTTAACGCCAACGGGTTCACTTTGTAACTAACTTAACGTGGCAGCTGAGTGTCTCCTTATATAGCAGTCGGCTGCTCGTAGACGAAAGCGTAGCAGCATCGATTTGTTAGCTATCGAAGTTTCTTGTTTTATCATTCTAGGATGTACTAGTTATCGGCTTCTCTCTTTCATCTGACATTCGCCTCGCATTTTCGCAACACTGCCCTCCACCTAAGTCTGATCGTCCCGATCAGACACATTCGCTGTTCCAAACTCAGCAAGTCTCTC